TTTTGGGATGGCTGCAGCCCCCCTGTAGCCCCTCCCCAACACCACCATTGCCTGTCCTGAGCACAGCCTGGCCCAGCCCCTACCAGGAAGAGCCTGGCACAGCTGCCTGCGGCAGCAGCCTGCCTCACCCTGCACAAATCTGGGAACACCCCCCCCCCTCATGCCCTCCTGGGGTGCATGCAGCAGCAGGAGCTGCCCCTCATTCCCGCACCTCCCAGATGAGTCGTGGCTCAGTCCTGCACCCTGCCCTGCCCTGGCTGGGCAATGCCTCCCCCAGCCCCACTCCCTTCCTCCTTCACCACGGGGGCTTCAATCTGCTCAGCATCTCCCACGCCCCTTCCACCGCAACAGATTTACCGGCCAGATGCTGCTCTTGAAGCTGCCAGGCTGTGTATTGGAAATCAAATCAGTATCGGCTGATATGCTTCCTTAAAAATTGGCTATAGGTATCAGCCCAAAAAATCTCTATGAGTGCACCCCTGCGCACTGCATATGACTCTAAAAGATAATCTACAAGGATTCAGTTTTGTATTGCAACATATCTGAAGTGCAACAAGAAGTGGCTTTTCTGTGATTGGAATAGTCCTAGCCCATTTCAAGTACAATTGCAATGCAAATAATATATGTATATTTTTAAATTATAGAATACTGTTACAGGAAAAGAGGAACTGTTTGATTATGCAGCTGGAAGAGGCAACTCGTTTAACTTCCTACTTACACTCCCAGTTAAAAAGGTGAGTTGGAAAAAGTTTAGTTTTCTTTAAGTAAGTCTAGGCCTGTAGTACATGTTCATTTAATGGTATGATGGGACCTGATCCTCTGTCCTAACAGTCGCACCTCTTGTCCTATGACACACATTCATGGCAGAAAGTCCAGTTTTGGAGTTGGTGATCAGATCCCAGTCACACCATTACTACTTGTTGCTGCAGGGGGAGCCTGGGATCATGATACTGGACTCCCTTGCATGGGCTGCGATTGAGAATTAGGTGGTTGTCAGCTCTGACTTGGGTCTCAAACTGGCACCGGCGCATTCCTGGGAAGTTGTTGGCCCCATACCCGGTAGTTCTGGCTGGTCTGCTAGGTGCAAGGGATCAGCTGGGGTGGGGAGGGAGATGAAGGGTTTCACTTTGGGCACTTTAAATCAGAGCTGTCAGGCACTGGGTTTAAAGTCCCCAGGAGCCTCTTGCTGAGGCTGACAATCAGCTGATTCTCAGTCCTGGAGCTGTTCCAGACCCTGGTGTGGTCCTGGCTGCAGGACTGATAATTAGCTGGTTTTTGGCTCAGCCATGCAAGGTGCCATACAAACCAACCATAAAAATGTTCTATTTTATGGAACATTTTTATTGCTTGTTTCTCATTATATGGTGACTTAATAAATCTGCTGCATGTGTAGCACTCTGCTGCTCATTTGTCATGATTAATGTGTTAAGGAGGGTCTTAATTATATTTTAAAATTTGCACCAGAAGAGAAAAACATGCAAATGGAATACAACAGTTTATTTTTATACCCTTTACAGCGGATTAGTAGTGTAAATGAAAGATGGTTAGTGGTCTTTTAGTTCATCTGTTTTCTGTAAGCACAGCTTGGGCACTGAAATGCATATACTGCTTGCAGTTTAGCAAAGTATTTGACCACTTAAAATTTAGTGGTCTTCATAGAGTGTTACTATAAGGATAAATGTACAACTAAAAATGTTAAGTGGGTGGAGAAACTCAAGTACTGTATCTACAACAGAGCTGAAAAAAAAATCCTAAGAGCTGAAGACAGAGGTGATGGCAATGTTTGTTGTGTTATGAAAGGAGAGGTAGTGGTTGGAAATGAAAACAGAGATGAAGACAGTCTATAGCTGTGCAGAAGTTTAGAGGATAGGAAGAAAGTTCATGAGGGTAAAATGTGCTTAGATTCACCACTCTGACATCTAAAGACAACATACTCACCAAGCAGGGATTTTCAGGGAGGAGACATGAAATTTCCCTGTAAAGGTAAAATGTCGTGAGATCCTCAGGGAAATCCTACAGGTCTGAGAATATTAGTATATAGAAACTAACCTGTATACTAATAGGAGTAGCTTTTCAGGATCCTTTTTTTCTTCAGTACACCAGCTTCCAGAGTTGGGCTCTGGTTGGTTCACTCCCCCCCCCCCCCCCCCCATGCTTTTTCTCTCTCCAGTACTTTGAGAACAGTGGAAGGAATAGGATTAATGCTGGCATTGTTGCAAGCTCCCATGGGATTTTTCAGTGGAAACTCTGAGTTTGCTAGAGTATCATGCTATGTAAAGTGACTATTTCCTTGTTCCATTGACTGCTCATTTCTCCCAAACGCATCATACTTTAGCCAAAAAAACAGTTATTGAGCTTAGTGCAGGCGTTACCAGGTGAAATTTAATGGCCTGTGATATACACATGAGTTCAGATTAAGTGATCCAATGGATGCTTCTGGCCCTCAGCTCTATGAATTCATCCCACCAGACCTCTCTGGCCATTTTTCCATCAAAACCCATGGAGCCCCAGGTGGATTTGAGGAAAGGGTGATAATCCCTCTGTTCCAGTCCTCCTTTTCAAATGTGCTGACCTGTTTTGGCTGTCTTTCATACTATTTTAATCACCATTGTGCCTGAGGATAAGGGAGGAGGAGAGGGAGACAAGTCTAACTTTCCAAATAGTACCCATGTATTATGACACTGTGGGCTATGATGCTACGGCAATGTAGCATCCTCAGGCAAAAGCTGTAGTGACATGCTCCCTTGTTACAGCGCATTGCTACAGTGATGTAGTGCCCAAAAATAACTGTGTGCAGTACGCACAGCGCAGTATAGTATATTACTGTGCTGTCTTTTAATACTTCCAAAAGCAAGTAACAAGGGGGCGTAGCAGCACGTGTAGATGCAGCCTGTGTGTTTGTAAAATCACCTACCTAATGTGAGTCACTGTATTTGTATCTACGTTGTGTTTTTAGTTGCATATAAATGGGTCACTTTTCTCTCTCTTGCCTTTTTTTTAAGTTTGTCTGCTAGCACCCTCACAATGTCCTCCGGCAGCAGTAGGGGATCACTGGCTTCTAGCCGAGGATCGCTGGCATCCAGCAGGGGTTCTCTCAGCTCAGTCAGCTTTACAGATATCTATGGCCTTCCACAGTATGACAAATCAGATAATGTCACAGACTTTGGACAGCATCTGCGCTTTGACATCATTCCATTTGAATCTCTCTCTAAAGATGTGCAGTACTCTGATTCTGTTGGACATTCTAACTTCAATAAGCAAAGGAGGTCCTTGGATACACCTCAGTCTCTGGCATCCCTATCCTCACGGTCCTCCTTGTCATCACTGTCTCCTCCAAGCTCTCCACTAGATACCCCCTTTCTTTCTGCTTCTCGGGATTCTCCACTGGCTCAGATGTCTGGAGGGTTTGAGGAAATGGCTGGCATAGGAGCCCTAGAAATGCTTAGAGCTCAAGCCTCGACATTGAGTGATGATGATACACAAGGAACAGCTTCATCTCAGACTCCAAGTTACCCTATGGACAGTGAAGGAATGCGAGAAATGGGGCTACAATTTGCAAATGTCCAGACTGGTGGAGGTTAGTTTCCTTATTATTATTTCATGTGGCTGACTTTATAAGGGGTAATGAAAAATAAAATAAAAATCTAAGCATGCTAGTACAATAGAGGTTATCTATCCCCCATCAATTTAATTTAAAGCAATTATGTAGTAGATGTTAGCTAGTAAAGTAGATGTGTGGTTAAAGGTAAACTAGAGGGGTAATGTTTGTGGGTCGTGACTTTTTGATACATTAGAGACGTTTGGTGCATTAGACTTTTGAGGTTTTTTGGGTGAATCTTATATCTTCTATTAGACCAACTTAAGTAGTTGGAAAAAATTTTTTTTAGCAAGCTTAAATTTTTAGCAAGTAATTCTTTCCCCCCTGCTGCTTAAGTTGGTCTAATAAAAGATATCAGATTCACCTGAAGAACCTTGTCTACCTATCTCCTTCGACCAACACGGCTACAAGCTACAGTTTCAGTTTGGAAAGCTACTTCAGTATTATTTCAGTAATGTTAGTTTTGTTAATAAAAATAGAATGTTTGGTTCTTCTTGGGAAATACTCGGAATAAAAACAGTTTTAGGCTGTGCTGAACTCATGTCACTTTTATTTGTATGCCAAACATGCATAATTAATAACAGGAAATTTGATGGACAGAAGATCCTCACTAGAACCTAACAAGAAAAGTAAACACAGGTTACAGCAGTAACCATCCCTTCCCCCTCAGTGATATTCAGCCCTCACAACAAAGAGAGGATCACTGAAAGAGCATGTTCTTAGTAGCCACTAATCTGCCTGGTTCAAACAAATCAGTTTTTTTTCCTTTGTATGGTATAAGACAGGCAGGAAGTTGCAAGTTTATAATGCTACTATCTATTTTAATTTTTAGAAGACATGGTATTTATATCTGCCCTCTATTACTTGGGCCAGAACTGGGTGACTCATTACAGGTGCTCTTTAGCACCTGTTCTTGTTTCTATGAACTACCACGTACACAACAGTCTAGGAAGAAAACTACTGGATTTACCCAAATCCAAGATGATTTTGAATTCAACATAACTCATCTCCCATCCTCCCAGAACTAGTTTCTATGTGTGAAAAGTTATACATTTGTCACCATTTTCCATGTATAGAATCTGACTGGAGGGCTGTCAAAGTTTGTGCCCCCAGTGCTGTGGTGGGGAAAGAAACAACAAGGCAAGCAATGACTGGGTATGGAGGGGGGAGAATAGTGTGAGTTATTGAAAATAATGTGTTTGAATATTACATTAGAATTGATGCTATTTTTCTTCTATTATTATTATGTGGTGGTGGTATTGTAATATTATGTCATTAGTTGCTATGGATGATCCCAAATTTAGAAAAACAATTTAGGCAGAAAGAACAGACAAACTTAGACTTTTACAGCACACACTTGTAGATTATGGAATGTTGCCATAAGATCCTAGTTTTTGATTTACACTAGTTAATGCAAGTTCAGTAGTTTAAAAAAAGTCATTATATAAGTAAAGAGGAGGCTCCCAGTGCTGTACACATCACCAGGATTCTGACCAGGTATTTACTACATCATTAATCAAAAAAGGATATTATCAAGGAAGAGCTATGGCCAGGCTGTTTAGAGTCAGTTTAAAATGGCTTTTATTTATTTCTTTTTGCTCCCAATCAAATACAGTGTGCCCTTCTAGTTTATCACTCCTGAAATAGGGTGAAGACCAGAATAGTGTACTGTTTCTATTCTGAACCACAATCACTTCAAGTTGATGAAGTTCCTTGTTGTGTTGGTAATTATAATTCTCAAACCAAGCAGGAGCAGATTGACTTAAACATCCTGCACTGGCAAGATTCATTTGAATTGACTTAGGATCTTTGGCTTCCCTAGTGACAGTAGGGCTGCTGGTTATATTTATTGACTGAAAGCACCATTGGTTGATTTAGGGACTTGTGGGAATTTGACTGTGTAGGTTTCTGAAAATGAAAAAGTTTGTTAGAAATATATAAATGTTAAAGATCAACAAAAGATGAACATTTCAAAATGTAGCATGTAACATTTCCAACATTTCAGTATTTATATAATAACTACATTGTCTTTCTAATTCCCATTTTGGGTAACCAAACTAGGAGCTGCTAATAAAATACAAGAGGCTTTTGCCCTATTCATACAATACTTTGAGGGTTAATTAATCAATGCATGTTAATGCTGTTCTAGTAAACCAAATTTATCCAGTACTTGTTATATTATAATATTTAAGCACTTTAACCAAATTTTACACTAATGGCTGAAAGGAACATGAATTTGGTATGATTTGTCAAAACAGCATTATAAAGATATGGCAAAAGAGAATGTATCATATCAATTACAGATGTGTTTTCTATTTTATAATTGCCACTTTTTTGCAATAAGCTAACAGGAGCGTCATTCACATGACTCAAGAAAGGGAAGGAACTGACTTAAAGCATTTTGAGCTAAATAGCTTGTTCAGCTCGAGTACTTTGGTGCAAACTCATTACTTTTCTTAACACAAGGAATACTTCCAGAAGATGTGGCTGTGGGATGTAGATCTGCTATGTGAAAACATTTCCAATGCCCATATTACTGTATTTGGACCAAAATAAGCACAGTTCTGAACAACAGCTTGTAGGTTATATGCTTAAGTTGGTGCCATGCAGAGGCTTTTTGTGAAAACACAGATGACAGTTTTAGATCAGAAAGCCACATTATGAACTGACCCATTTCAGTAAAGCAACACATTTCCAATATACCATATTTTTTTTCACATATAACATGCTTCATACTATAAAGAACACCTTGTTTTTGAAAGGTAGAATGAAGGGGCAGGTCTCCACGGATGGATCTATGATTTTGCAAGAGCTGAAGAGTTGAGCAGCTAGCATGCAGCAAATGTGTCCTTAACTTTGTTAGTGGAACATGAGGACTGTTTAAAAAGGAGAGATGATCATTAACACCTGTGGAATGAAGAACAATGAGCCATTAAGGGTGGTATTCTGTATGCACCTTAACACTTAAGTGCAGTTAAAACACAAGCAGAATAGCATGTATTAAGTGCCCTCTTAGAGTTGCAGAGCCATTCCCTTTCAGGGGAGGGTTATCTCCTAACACAGGGGTGGGCAGTTATTTTGGGCAAAGGGCCGCTTACTGAGTTTTGGCAAGCCATCGGGGGCCGCATGACAGGCAGCCCAGGGCAGATTAATATTAATTTTCTAAATTTTTTAGGGGCCTTTCAGGCCGAATAGAATGACTTGGTGGGCCGCATTTTGCCCACCCCTGTCCCAACAGCTACTAACTTGAATAGATTATTACATTCCCATGATTGCAACTGTTGCATGTGAACATGTGACAAGGCCCTAAGTCTGTTGATTGCTTCAGCTGCCTGAATAGTAATACCACAGCTGCTGCATTATGAAGCAGGAGTCAAAGCAGGTTGCTTCAATCTGAGGCAGGAAAGTAATTTCTCTGTTTCATACACACAGCCCAATTTTGAAGTAGCTGAGTTTTGGGAGGAAAGTTCTGCAGTGTAGCAAGGAAATGTAAATGTGAAGGCCTGATACGAGTGCTGAAATGGGGAAGGATAAGACAAATAAGGAGAATAAGGATAAGAAGGATTAGGGTGCTGCTTCAGTCTTGCTCTCTACCTCTTCCATGTCAACTTCCATTCCTTCCTTATATTTAAAAGTTCTGGCAGCAAGTCACTCTGTTTTTGTCACTAGATTGCTTCCCTGTTCTTGCTTCCTGTTCTTCTGTTTTCAGCTCTCCTCTGTGTATAGTATGGAACACTTACACTGGGTGTAAGTAAAAAAACAAACAAACCAGCAGTGCAAGGCCAAATAGTTACCCTGTTGTTCTTTTGACTTCCCTTTTAATGTTTCAAATTTAGAAGTGAGTTGGGAAAAATGAGGCGGTTGCTACTTTGAACTCTGTTCCATTAGTTTTTATTCTATATTACAGCTAAACCGATTAATTGTCACACATTTTCTGGGACAACCTTGAATTTTGGGGCTGTGTCTTGGTTACCTTAGGGACTCCCTGAAACAGGACATTCATCCTGAGTTTGAAAAATCAGTTTCCAAGGAGCA